TTAATAGAAGGAATGTTACCATTACCTACTATTCTAGAGCCAATGATCTTCCCTCTTTGATTTCCTCCAAAGCCCACATAGCCTCCAGGTTTAAGTTCTAGGCTTTGGAACATATGCTTTCTTCCTATCATGTGTCGAGAGCATCCAGAGTCTAGGTACCATGACTGGTGTTTTAGCCTTGCTGCTAAAGATATCTGCTACATATATAATTTTTTCCTTAGGTACCCATATCTTTTTGGGTCCTGGTTTATTAGTTTTACCAAAATTATGTTTGAATTTTGGTTTGGCAGAATAATCATTGCTAGTGTATTTCAAATCATGTGTATTCCCATAAGTCAAGTGATATTTTAGTGGTGTGCGTTTAATTACTAGGTCCATGACTTTCTTAGGTGGAGATACCTTACCTTGGTATCTTATTCCTTTTCTGCCATTTCTACTAACTCCATAGATCATTGAAGCCATCTTGCTTCTATCTATGTTTTTAGCCAGAAACTTCTGAAAGATGTGATCATATTCTTTTATGATCTTATCAGCATTACTGGGAGCCTCTGAGATTATTTCTTTCTGAGAGTTTTGTAAATAATTTTCTAGTTTTGAAATCTTTTCTTTTAACTCAGAATTTTCTAATCTAAGACTCTCAGTTTCTTCAGAGTCAGAAGAAAGATCCTTTTTCAGGTTCTTGAATTTGACTATGAGTTGTTGATACCTTTCCAGAATTTCACTCAGACTTTCTCCTAGTTCAGCTTTGGTAAAATTAACAGTGAAGTCAGGGAATACCTCTTTTGTGTCTGATTCTGAGTCTGACCCAGATGCTTCACTGTCTTCTGTCACATTTTCCATAAGAGCAATGTTGGCTCTTTCATCATCTGACTCCGAGTCTGCGACAGAAGTATCTGAGTCATCCCATGTTTCCATGAGACTTTTCTTCTTCTCCTTGAAGAACTTCTTTTTGGGCTTCTCCTTCTGAAGCCTTGGACAATCACTTTTGTAGTGCCCTTGTTCATTGCACTCATAGCAGATGATGTCTCTATTGTTTGACTTTCTGTGAGTAGAAGAAGCTTCATACCTTCTATGTCTAGAGGAGGGCTCAAACTTTCTGTATTAAGAGGAGGATTCATTCTAATTCCCTGATCTTCTAGAGTTTCTGAATTTTCTTTGCCTCTCCTTCCACAGCTGATTGACCCATTTGGAGAGAAGAGACAGTTTGTCTTCTTCTGATGAGGATCCATCAGAGGTTTCTTCCATAGCCTGCAAAACCTTAGAATCAAGTTTTTTGTTATATTTTATTGCTAAAGACTTACCTTGCTTCTGAGGCTCGTCATCTTCTATCTCTATCTCATGGCTTCTGAGGGAGCTAACAAGTTCCTCCAAAGATATCTTGTTGAGATCTTTCGCCAGCTTAAGATCAGTGACCATTGGCCTCCATTGCTTTGGTAAACTTTTGATGATCTTCTTTACGTGATCAGCAGTAGAATACACTTTGTCAAGAACTGTCAGCCCAACAACTAGAATCTGGAACCTTGAGAAAATTGCTTCTATGGATTCACTTTATTCCATATTGAAGGCTTCGTATTTATGAATGAGCACAAGGGCCTTGGATTCTTTAACTTGTATGTTGCCTTCATTCGTCATTCTTAGAAAGTCAAACATGTTTTTGGCTGTCTCTCTGTTTGAGATCTTCTCATACTCTGAGTATGAGATGGCACTGAGAAGAATTGTTTTAGCCTTATGATGGTTTCTTAAGTCACGCTTTTGTTGGTCAAACATTCTTTTTCTATCTATCTTCTGACCACTTTCATCCACGGGATACATGTATCCATCAATTACCATATCCCATAAGTCAGCATTATGGGCCAGAAAGAAGCTCTCAATTCTATCTTTCTAGTAGTCAAAATTTTCTCCATCAAATACTGGAGGTTTGCCGCTGATTCTATCCTTATCATCATGATAGTCATTACTGGTGTTTTGGCTTGGTCCCACCATAATGTTTTTCTAAAGCTTGGTTCTTGTACTAACACGGTTAAGTGTATGAACTTAGAACCAGGCGCTCTGATACCAATTGAAGAAGTGAAAAACACAAGAAGGGGGGGGGGGGGGGGGGGGTTGAATTGAAACTTAAAAATCAAAAGCAATAGACACGATGATTTTTATCCTAATTCGCTTGATCTCAAACTACTCCAGTCCACCCGCCAAGGTGATTTCACCTCTCTCCAACGAGGACTTAATTCACTAATCAAACTGATTACAATTCTACTTTGACAACTGCCAAAGTCTTCTTAAGTACAACCACAAACTGATATATCTCAAGGAAAATTACTTAATAAAAAAAAGGTTTACCGTGTACTATTTGTTTTTCGTTACAAAAACTATATCACTATTGTGATGTATTACACAAATTGAGTATAGTATGAATATGACTTTTTGCAGATTTTTGAGATTGTATGGAGCAGTTGTGTGAAATCTTAAATGATTTACCCTTTGAACTTGTTTATATAGGCGTGGCAGTGTGTCCAAATGGAAACGTGATAATGGACACTTAATTCTCTTTCCATACTGAGAAGATCCTTTTCTGATTGTAGCTGTTGTAAGTGATAATGCCTTAATGGAAAACTAACGCTTCGGAACTTAGGAATCTTGCATGCTGCTTTACTTCATAACTTGGGAAGTCAGAAGCATAAGGTTTTGTTAGCGTGTTGGACTTCCGTTCAGAATCAGGATATCTTTCTCTTTAGCGCATATTCCGATCATCATACTTCAGAACTTTCTGATTACTCAACTTGAGTGCTTCTGTGGCTTAACTTCTGATGTCATTTTAGTCAGAAATTCTATAAAACATAGAACACAAATTTAGAGTGCATATTTGTTCTTTGTGTTTGTTATCATTAAAACTCTTATGAGGGTTGTAGAATCAAACTATGTTCTAACATCCCTACCTAGGCTCCTTCTCATGTATTTTCAAATGCAGCTTCACACGGGCTCATCACGGGTTCCTTCTAATACATTTCTAGACACGGCTTAACACGAGTCCATTCCAGGATATCATACAGATTCAATCGACCAAAGATTTATGCTGATACTTCTCCGAAAACTGTTGTTTCAGTATAAATCGAACAAAGATTTATTCCGATGCTTCTTCCAATCTCTATCAACAGTCACCTTGGATGGCATCTATAAGCCCATCTCTGACAAATTCTTTATCACTTCTCCAAATGGCATCTTTAAGCCCATTCTTGACACAATCAAATAACACATCATCAATTGCAAATTTCTGAGCACTCTAGTGTTCAATCATCTTCCACCTTCAAGTCACGAATGGCAGACCCTCAAATCAAACTCTTCAGGTTTAAGAAGATTGAACAGGGGAAGCAGTTGTACCCCAAAATTTGCCCTATATTTTCTCAAGAAATTTCTCATAAGATATTCAAATAGTTCAAGCTTGCACAAGTATTGACTAGGTCAAGCTGTTGTACTCCAAAATTTTCCCTCTCAGTTTCCATTCAAAATATTCCCCTAGGATTCTCAAATGCTCAAGTTGGCTCAAGAATTGATCAGACAAATTCTCCTCCTAAGAAATGCGTCCACAACTAGGGTTTTGTATTTCTCAAGGAAGATTGAGTTTCCTATATATCAAGTGGATTTCACGGTGCTTTATATGTATTCAAGAATACTCATATCAAATCTCATGCCTTGCATCACAAGTTCGCTCAGTCAATTGCTCAGATGATCGAAAATCAGCTATATTGACCAAAAAGTCGACATTTTCAAGATCAGGTTCAAAAAATTGTAACTTCTTTATTATTCAATATTTTTGAGTGGTTATTTTTGCGTATGACTCTCCTTGACGTCATATCCAACTTCTCTTTACAAGTCAAGAGCCGATTATGTATGAAAGATCATCAAAAATTTGAATACTTTATATGTCACTTTCTAGACTTTGACCTAATCTCAAGTAATTGTGCCTGACTTCCAGGAATCGTAATTTCCTCAATTTTCAAGATCGTGAGACGAGTATTTTTGTACATTGTCATAAGCGATATCATATACAAGTTCTCTTCAAGGATTGAAAGAAGATTGTGTTTAGAAGACCTTGCAAAGTTATCAAATCGTCATAAGTCATTTTCTTGATTTAGAATGCTCTTAACTTCTAATTTCAATTCATGCATGCATTGTTGATTGTGGCGGGTTAAAATACAAGTTGTAATTCATTTTGGTCGATATAATTTTGGTTCTCCTCAATTTCTTGTTTACTTCAATTACAAGTTAATTTGAATTTGGAGAATTAAAGTTAGCAATTCGTTAGGCTACAAGGTGAAGTTTCATCTATCTCCTCCTTCCTAATTAGGGCTTTGTGTATGATTTTTTCAAGATTCAAAAATAGTGTACATGGGCATTTGTTGATTCAATTTTATTATGAGTCCATGGAATCAAGTATTTTAAATAATTTCATTCAAGTTCCTATTCAACTTGATTCATTATCATGACAAAATTCCAAACAATTCTCATGGCCTAACTCAAAGATCATCAAGACTTATTCGAGGTCCATTTTGATTCGAAAGTCATTCAAGTGGAAAGTTTCATTCAATTCTCAACTAGTTCACTCAGAAACTCCAAAAGAAATCAGGAATTCAAGGTATGATTTGGAAAGTGTTTTTCAATGATTCCAATCCAATTTCACTTTCATGGCACAAGGAATTATGGAACTCATTCAAGAGATGTTGGAGAATTCAAATTCGAATTTTAATTAAAAGAGACTTTGCATACTTTTGGTATCATTAGGGATTGTTTGTTCAAAGTAAAAATTGGAAGAATAATTACAAAATATGAAGGTTGATTCAAACTTTGTCCAAATTTCATTACACCATTACAAACCATTACATCTTTGCCATCATACCAAAAGTTACAAGAGGAATTATAAAGAAAGTACATGAAAACTCAAGTCCTAATTCTAAATCTTCAAGGTTTCCTCATGCCAAAATCTTCTTACAACTTCATTCTAAAATTCAAGTTCCAAACCAAACTTTACAGAGACTTGAAGCAACCTGCACATACAAAACCAATTTAAACTGTCCTGCGAAATCCAAACAGACCAAAAATCAACACAATTGTTGAAGAAAACCGTTTCACATAACAAAACTTGCACCAACCACTTGTAACTTGCTGCACATAACCAATCCAAAATACCATGTCCAACCTGCTAACCTTGTCCACACTGCTGCCCATAACACTCCAAAACCAACCTGCTGCTGCTGCCCCTGCATCAATCCATAACCTTACAAAACCGTGACCAGTCCAGTCCTGCATCAAACTGCTACAAAACAACCATGCTGCTGTCCAAAATCATCCTTGTCGCCCCTGTCCAAATTTGTCCATAACTTGCATAAAAATGGCAAAATAAAACCTGATTAAAAAAAAGAAATAAAACAGTATCAAATTAGTTGAAATATCATTCCATTTTCCCCCCAATTTGCACCCTTTCTCATCTATAAAAATACTTCTAAAACATTTCATTAAAGAAGGCAATATTGACTGCTAAAAAACCTAAAGTACCTCTTCAAACTCAAAAAACCTCTGCTAAAACTAACAATCATTGCCATAAACGTCTTCCCTGCTTCCATCTCATTACTTCCTTAAGACACAAAAATAAGAGAAATTCACCAACAATCATCACATTAAACTGCTTCTAAAACCTTTCAATCACTCACTAACCAGACGAAAAACCCTAAACTAACCTTCACAAACCTCATTCGTAGTTAACCTTCACTCATCACACACCATTAATATCAGTCATTTAACCAAACAGAAAACCCACACGTAAGTTTCCTCACATCTGTAAAACCATACTCACCTCTGCTCTATGCATAACACGCACAAGGTCACAACCAACACAACAACACAACACAAATCCCAAATGCATTTTTTTAACAGAAGAAAACAAGAGAAGAAAGTTTTCATCTAACTCACTTGAATACCTTCGAGCTTCATCGGAACTGGCATTCACTGGACTAGTTTTGAGTTATTGAATCTTGTTGTGGAGAACCGATGAGACGGGAAGATGAGAGAAACAGACAAACATAAGTTTAACATAATTGTAATCAGCTTCTACACAACCTTGCATCAACCATTATAAAGCCGCTCAAGTATTAAATAAACTCAAACCTTAAAATTTATACCAAAATCCTCTTTCATCACTGCACAATGACAACAACAAACCATAACAACACAAATATAGAGGAAAGAAGGAAAATATTCAGAAACGCATACCTACGATTTTACCCTAGTTTTCTAGTTGCCTGAGTTTGTCCTTGAAGACGTGTCAAACAAAATCCGGTGGGTAAGCATCCTTCACTCACTCTTGCGATTATTTTGTTGCTATTTTGAATCATTAGAAATTACGATGAAATATTAGAAATTGCGATGAGAGAAGACAGATGATACGGTGGTGATTAGGAAGAAGGGAGATGAACCAGGGGTTGATGGATTGAACGAATGGAGAGAGACAAAGAGCGCGAGGAAGCAGAGAGAGACAAGAACAGAGGAAACATTGAAGAAGAAAAGAAGCATTGTGGGTTTCCTTAGGGTTTTAAACCCGATTGCGAGATGATAAATGGGGCACCGGGATGACCCGGTTCAGCCCTGCCCTTTTGCTTTTTTTTGTTTCATTTTTTTTCTCTCCTTTATATTAGGCTTAAAAACCATCTTCATAAATACACCTTAATTTTCTGATTCAAATACACAAAAAAATATAATCCTGGGTTTTACCATTGAGCCCATGCACCTCCAACTGCTTTTGCACTCCCATACGGGTTATCACACCCTGGCCCATTAATTATTGTTTATTTCTTTTCTTTATCTTTTAAGTCATAAAATACCAAAAAAATAAATTTAGAATTTAGGTTATAATTTCCTTTTGGCCCTTTAATATTTTCTTAACATTTAAAAAAATATCAAAAATATTCCATGTTTATTATTTAAAATTTGGTATATTTTATTTTTATTTTCTTTCAAAATAAATAAATAAAAGACTTAAAAACATTTTTTAAACAAATTTCTTTTCTTATTTAGTTTAATTTAGACTTAGTCTTTTTTAATTAATTTAGAACTTTAGATTTTAATTAACATTTTTCTCATCCATTTTAGCTTGACTAATTAGTTTAAAAACCTTTTCACAAAATCCCTAAATTTGTTTCTTTAATCAAATTAATTTTCTTAATTAACTTAAGTTTAATTTTCTTAGTTTAATTAATTAATTTTCGTCAAAACCTTTTCTTCATAACACAAACATATTTTTGTTTCTTTTCATATCACTTTATTCTTTGTACATTATGTTTATATTTCTTATACATTATTCTTTCAAATTCAATATAGTTGTAATGGTAATTTAGGTTTAAATTACTTGTCTTCCTCATCTGTGAATTTGTAGCTCCATCCCTAAATGATGTAATAGCATAAAATTTTTCATTTATGCAATTTACCGCTTTCAATATAAATCTAGTAATTAGGGTGTGTATGATAAGACATAAAATCAACTACTAGATAATCCTAATCAAGACAAATTAAATTTGAATCAAACACACTTTTCACGCACGCACCTCTAGGGTGACCTTGCTTGTTGCCTCTGAAAAATAGTCATGTCCCTCGAATATGGGACGCTTTAGCAAAGACCCTCGAATAAAAATATTGTAGTCCCTCGATGACTCTTCGACGTTGCCTTCGGCAAAACGATCTTAGTCCCTAACGAAAATTTCTAAAGCGTCTTACAAGTTGATTTCTATGACTGTACGATTGACCCGCGCCTGTCATTTCACATCCAATAATGGGGCTTCTTACCAATCAATGGTAAGATAGCAACATCTAAAGGAGAAGGAAAATAACAAAGATCTTTTGAGTAGGTAGAACGTTCATAGTTTCTTTCTCACAACATTTTCAAAACAACATCTGTCAAACACACCAACACTTTCAAAAACGAAATATTTTCAAAAGTCAACACTTTGTATACATTCTTATAGAGATGAGAATGATCACAAAGTTTTCCTTAACGATGACACTTTTAAAAAATACTTTCAAAATCATCACAAACACATTTCAAACAAAGCATTTTCAAAGTGAGCTAGCAACTAAGAGCCCATAGATAACTATTGATGTAAAGGGTGTTAAAACCTTCCCTTTTCATAACTTACCCCCTGAACTCAAGAAAAATTCTCAAAAGGTCTTTCCTGTTCTTTTCACCATTTCCTTTATTGGATAAAATAAAAGCAGGTGGCGACTCTTGCTATCCGCAACAATTGCGATAAAAAGCAAAATACCCAAGTCAGTTCTCCCACCGTATTACAGAAGCCATCTCCTCAACACAATGCCTCAAATTAGGGTTTTGACTGTAGTTAACTGATCATTGACTTTTGACCTAATTCATGATCTAATGGCTTAAAGCATATTCTCAAGGATTCAAATATAACATGTTGACCTAATTTCATGGTTCAAAACATTCCTCAAGATCAATGGATTGATAGTTGAAATTTGATCAAGTGATGAAAAGTTAACTAATACACAAAAAGTCAAACTTTAACTCTTTGGTCAAAATTCAATTTCAAAGATTACAATTCATCCAGAAATTCAAAAATATAAAGCTTGATCATCAAGAAATCAAGAAAGTCAAAAGTCAATGTGAAAAGTCAAACTTTGTAAGACTTATTAATTTTTCTAAGTGTTTTTATACATGTTAATTTCATTACTTCATGTCATTCTTTCACCAAGATGCAAGATGTTTCAAAGGAAACTTTCAACATGAAAGTTGTAGATCTTGATGAACTCTACAACTTTGTATTAGAGGGTCGATGTCCAAAAAACGCTTATACTTGAAGATATAAGCCCATGAAGTCATGACATTTTCATCTAACACTTAGAGAAATTTCCAACAGATTTCGGTCAGGATTTTATCCCAACTTCGTAGCGTTTTTTCACATAGTTCCAAGATGATTTTGTCAAAATGACAAGCATGATAGTTATAGAGGATGTTTTAAGCTTTCCAAAACATCCAAGAGCATGAATTTATCATACTTGAGCTAGGAGATTCAAGGGCCTGAAGTTGGGCATCCATTCTTGAATTACAAGTCATTTTGTTGAAGAACAAATAATCCAATTTGCATGATGTGCTGCATAATCTCACTTTACAGGCCTTGTGACTTGAAAATCTATCCATAATCAGGTATTTACACAATTGATTGAACCATTATCCAAGTGATTCAAGTATTGTCCATTGCATCATTCCATTTATAGCACAAAGGCACCATTGCCATTCACATAAAAGCAAACTTATGCAATTGTCAAATCCTTGAGCCTCTCAAGTGTTTTCTCTGCACATACACAATGTCAAAGCAAGAAGCAACATGCCTAAAAGCCTCTAGCAACTTCAGATCATGCTTGTACCATGCATTGGAACACCAATTTACACATAACTTGGTTGTTTCATCTCAACCAAACTAGAATTTTGACAGCTTGTAGAAAAAACTCTCTCATTCTCTCAAACCTCCTTTATAAATAGAGTGGCCATTTTCAAGCCAAAGTGCCAGAAGTTTTTTTTTGTGTAGACAAGTTCTCAAAACCCCCTCATACTCTCAAAAACCATAACTGTCCAAAAAATTCCCCTCTTGAGCATTGAAATCCAAATCTTTGAATCTTGTACCTTGAAAGTTTTTCCCAAACAAACCATTTAAATACATCACATACATCAAATAGAAGTTGGCCAAACATAACAACAACTTCTGCAACATCATTATCACCACCTCACAAACTCACAAACATTGTTTTGCAAGTTGACTTGGTTGGAGAGATTCAAACACTTTTAGTACAAAGTCAAGATTGGAACAACTTCAGGGAGGTCTAAGGAAGCTCAATCAATCATCACATTATGCTTGGAAACATCCATACACATTTCGAGTTTTTACTTCAAGAGGTAAGTTTTCACAAACTGTGATATCTTTTTCATACATCATTTTGCTTTCGTTTTCAAAAGAATAAAACAGGACAAACCAGAATAGAAGAGTTGAAAACACTAAAATCCCCAAAAAATGCTCCTGGAAGTCTGACACGGTCGGCCGTGTCACCTGACGCGGGCCGTGTCAGGAAGAAAATAGGAAAAATGGCAAGACAAGGCTCTAACACGGGTGCCCGTGTCACAGGACACGACCCGTGTCCGTCTTACTGGAATTAAAACTCGGAAAAGATGTAGGATAGGGTCTTGACACGGTTTCCCGTGTCACAGAACACAGCCCATGTCAGCTCATCTAGGACAAAAAAAAGACGTGCATGATTATTACAGGGTCCTGACACGGGTGCCTGTGTCACATGACACAGCCCGTGTCAGCTTCAACACCAAAAATTCTAATTTTTTGAGACTTCTTTGCTATTATTTTTTATCAGATTAGTTTTAAAATTAATTAGGTATAATTTCTTTCATCCCCATTTATATTTGTATCCCCATCCCCTAAATGATGTAATAGTGTAGGATATTTATATTCCGCAATTTATCGCTTTCAAATATAAATTCTAGTGATTAGGATTTTTATGGAAAGATAAAATTAACAAGTTGCAAACCCTAATTCAAAGATAAAAATGCATGAAAAACAAACGCTTTGCACACTTTTACCTCTAGGGTTAACCTCACTTGTTGCCTTGAGAAAAAACTTGTCATGCCCCTCGAACATGGGATACATTAGCAATGACCCTCGAATACAATATCGTAGTCCCTCGATAACCCTTCAATGTTGCCTTCGATAAACGATCTTAGACCCTTAAGATAAATTGCTAAGGTATACTACAATGTTGCCTTCTATGACTATACAATGACCCACGCTCGTCCCTTCACATCCAATGATAGGGCTTCTTACCAATCAATGATAGCATATCAATATCTAGAGGAGGAGGAAAAGAACTAAGACTTTTTGAGTAGGTAGAACATTCATAATTTCTTGTCACAACATTTCAAAACATCTTTCAAA